TCAGACTTCACAATCGCGCGACCACATCGCTCTATCCCGACCGGCGGCGCTCTGCCACCAAGCGGTGCGCCGCTACAACGGCACAATTCAAACGCGATCCAGTCGCGCGATCGCGAAGTCTGAGCGCGGTCTGACTATCAATAGGCAAAAAATAGTGATTGTTTAATCTATCAATAGGCAAAACCGGATAAGAGAGGATCATTCCAAGCAGAAGCTATTCACGCTCTTCTGCTGCAGAACCATTTCTGGACCACTTCAACACTTCTGGAACATTTAATCCAAACGCTTGTATGCTGCCGCACGCTCTAAACGCTGACGCAAGTATGAACGAAGCCTAAAAGTCACTTAATGAAGATAGAGCTTATTTTAGCTTATTGCTGTTCACTCTTCTCAAGCAATATCTTTTTTCAACTATGATTAGGTTGGCTTCCCGGAAACTGTCGGTCCATGACCGCTCCACTTACAAGATGTTTATACACACTCCAACTTCAGATGTAATAGCTGAACCTTTTTTTCGAGATACTCAGAAAAAAAGAATGTGCGTAATGATAAAATGCAGTGGCCATCGCAGCAAAAGTTACAGAACAAAGTACGGGTATGGGATGGACCCTTTCAAAGAAACAGACTCGATAGTGGGTCAGGATTTCCGATAGTGACAATTGTCGTTTGTTAGAAGTAGGAGATGGAGGTCACAGTGGTCGTAGAATACTGCATATACAACAAAGAGAAACAGAAAAATGATAGAAAAACTTTGGAGACAATGCGCATTGTTTTGTCACAACTAGGTTACGTTGAGAACGTTTTCCCCGGTTCCTGCGATTTTTCGAACTAATACGTGCCCAGTCTTTTCGCGCATTCTCCACTTCTTCCAAATATACGATCGCCGCTTATTCACTTTTCCAGATCGACACATTACGTATATACATATCTACATTTGCACAGAGGCGCGCAAAAACAAAACAATTTTGTGTTCTCGTGCTTGCTCTCACTATTAGCAACGATGAATCACAAGTTTGGATTTCGAGTTAAACAAAACTCGAGGTATCACCATCATAATCCCAGAAACACCCTTGAATAAAAACACAATGAAAGCGTCACTATAAAACGGCCACATATTTCCATCCACCGATACACCGATTACGCTAAAGCTCAAGCCGTAGAAGGCGAAACATCTGCAGTCGTCGGGTCGAAATTACGAGCTTCTGCGACCACCCTCTTGACAATTCGCTTAGAGGTCGGAGTAAAAGGCAAAAGTATATGCCAGAGAGCTATGGGCCTCATTCTCCCGAACCGGAGGAAGCTAGCAAAGCAGCGATCATTGGGACCGCTTGGGAGTGGCTGCAAGAATCCCAAGGTCAAAGGAAAAACAAGCCACCCATTACTAGGATGACGATTTGTATTTACAGGAAAAGTTGCATCGGAAGCAAAACCGGCTTCTCTGCGCAAAAGCTCGCTTCTTGATGACAGAAGGGAGGAACGAAGTTCAGAAGCGACAGAAGGAATCAAGCATCCGAAAGGCCCAGAAGTTCTCCATCACCCCCCCCCCCTCCTAAAATCCTAATTTAGCTGTTCCCTGACAAAGCGTTAAGGTTTTCCAGAAACGTTGTTATTCTTCTTTCTGGTAAAGTTCCTGGTTTAGTTGTGCCAACAGCGAAGAGCGCGCTCATGTTTTTCAACTATATCCCATAAAACACCCTTTAAATATCTCTCTCGAAGTTGAAAAGATATAGAAGAAGTTCGAAACAATAAAAAAGCAGAAAGTCAACGCATTCAATGTTATTTCCCGCTTTAGAAATACACCGCTTCTAAATTCAAGGAAGGCGTATGTATGCACTTGCCGTCTATTTCCGTAAAGTAGTCTGCCTCAAACACGAAAAATGTTCTCTCAAGAAATTTCATCTCAAATTTGGTACTGTGAAAGGGAACTTATCGAGACCTTGTCTTGGGGAGTGGGTCGTAATGACCCCGTCATTCAACTGATTCCAGCCCTGCACCCAGGTGAGACAATCATCACTCAATTGAACCAAATATTAGGCGTGGAATACGGTGACTGCAGCGATACGCAATTACATCCCATGTGCCTCCGCGTTTTTTCGTGACCACCAACGGAGTTCCTCTATTGAAGTGCTTTACTGGTATGAGGGCAGTTATTCAACGTGTTGCGAAGGCCTCGGTGAAAGTAGGAGAGGAAGTAGTGGGTTCGAATTTACGTCGTTCTGCTTTATTTTTTTCTCTTTACATTGAACAAAATACCTTTAAAAATACCACTCACAATCTAGTTTCTGGCTAGAAGGAGGCAGCTAGCTGGCACAGCCCACGCAAGCAAATGTTTTTTGAGCTCAGGGACACCTATTTTTGCTTTATTTCATATTCTAGATCCTATTCTGATTCCCTCAAACACCTTACTTTTAATTGGGTACATCACTCACATAGACAGTAACAGTAAAAAAATCGCAGTGCGGGTCATAATCCCAGATTGATTCTTGTAGTGGGCGTTTCCTCACGTATTTTTGAGATGCAGAATATGCTTCGTCAGGCACGATTACCATGCCGAAGCGGAGCCTGAACATCACATGAACGCGGGGCGTGCAATCTAGTGTAAGCCTTTCTGGGGAGGGAATATAGAGGCGCGATCGGGCGGTCCATCTTCCCCCATCCCACCTCTATAAGGCGCCGAGGCATTTATTATTCCAATGCTAACACTGGGTCCTGTGTTGTTTTGTTGTTTTTTCCAATAATCTGTCACAAGCGCCGCATATTGGAGGCGTGTCAGCTTCGTAGGGACGACTGCTTAGCCATGAACAATGGGAATTCCACCCATAGTTCCCCGCTGGCGCAAGTAATGTATCAAGTTTGACACCAGTACCAAGGCTCTTCGAAGAGTTTGAGACTGATGGTTCGCTTTCTATCGCACGCAGGGGTTTATATTCTTGACAGCGATTCACACTAATGTTACCTCATGTAGTGGCAACCTCATAGAGTGCTGCCGTGCAAGCGTTCACCTTGCCAGGGCTTCTCTCCTTTTCTAACGCTACGGCTGCGTTCATACTTTGCGTCAGCGTATGGCAGCCTATACAGCGCCAGCGACTAGGAAAGTATAGGTATCGATCTAGCAAAAGCCAGTACAGCAGATTATCCGTGGCTCAAAGTACCCGCGAAAACGCTGGGCACAGCATTCACTGGCGTACGCTAGATCGATATCTATACTTTCCTTAGGCTGCGTTCATACTTTGCGGCAGCGTACGCTAGCGTTTCCAGCGTTCGGCAGCGGCAGTGACAAGGAAAGGATAGATATCGATCTAGCGTTGCCAGCGTCACCAGCGTGCGCTAGCGTAGCGAGGGCAAGGAAAGTATAGGTATCGATCTAGCGTTTGCCAGCGTTTCGCCAGCGTTTGCCAGCGTTTCACAGCGTTTGCCAGCGGCGGGGACTAGAGAGTATGGGAGAGTAGGAGAGTAGCGAACGGCTCGATTAGGCGTCGTGGAATTGCGGCGTGTGCAACCGCACCGCACTACTAGACAATACCGTACACAAATTGGTTAAATTGCATAATGCAATGGTTGAACTGCATAATGCATAATTGTAAAGGATAAAACAACGTGGGATCATTTAGGATCTTTCATGTGGGTGAGCATGTATGTGTCGGCCAGAGAACCTTCATAAGAATTATTAAAAATTCCCAAAACTGAACAATTTCCAACAGATTAGCCCTGAAAAGGATATAGTTCCTGCAAAAGGCGAACGTTTTAATGGCTCAGTTCAGTTCCGGTGCGACAATGTAATAAACATTCCTTCCAACAGCCAAACTACAGAATTATCCAATTTAACCATTTTGGTGTACGACATTGTCTACTGGTGCGGTGCTGTGCACACGCGGCAATTTCACGACGTCTAAGGCAGCATCCAGACTTCGTTACGGCAGCGCTTCGGTCGCGCGTTCGACGCGATCGATGCAGTCGAAAATGCGCATCGATCGCGTCGAACGCGCGACCGACGCACTGCCGTCGCGAAGTCTGAACGCTGCCTAATCGAGCTGGCTACTGTCCTACTCCAGCGTTCTCTCTACTCTCTGCCGCTAGCAAACGTTGGTGAAACGCTGGCAGGCGCTAGATCGATAGCTGTACTTTCCTTGCTCTCGCTAAGCCAGCGTAGCGAGCCTAGCATAACGCTGTTGACGCTAGGTCGACATTCTTCCTTTCCTTGTCAGTGCCGCCACCGAACGCTGGAAACGCTAGCGTACGCTGGCGTACGCTGCCGCAAAGTATGAACTTAGCTGTCAATCGAAGCTTACGCTCGAGCAGTCTCAATCCGGACGAGGGCCAGTTCCCTGTAAGCAACGAAGAAGAGCAGATTTTTCCAAGAAAAATGCCTTGTCCAAGAAGGTTGACTCGAATCCGCATCTTACGCTTTCCGGGCGAGTGCGCTATCCTTACGCCACCAGGCTGCTCTCACCTTCTCAGCTTCACTGCGTTCTATGCCGTAGCCTATCAGCAAGTTTTCTGACAGCCGTGTTAACATTGTGAAGCAGTCGACACAGTAATTTTAGACATCGGCAATGAGGCATTTCCGCGTGGCAAACTGTTTTGAACTAGTGATAATGGGCGTCTTGCGCGATTGTTTGGTGAGGATCTCAAGAGCTTTGTACTCACTCCGTTACAGTAACCTGCACACGTTCATTACACCTGTAATCAATTAAGGCGCGGCTGGAACTTCAGTAGACAAGCTCGGATTGTTGGCTGGGTATGTTGTGCCTTCTAGCTAGGTTACGGCGTCATTAATGGAACAAGTCATTGAGCCGCTATTGTGGACACAGTTTTAATTTTGTTTGCTGTTGTAGTGGTTTGCGTTTTCGGCAGCATTCCTCTAGCCGTACTTGGCATATCTGTGTCCCACACCCGCCACCCATTCATGCTGTGCATGGAGGGGGGGAGGGGAGAGGAGATAAAGCTGGATTTGACAAAATGGGTGGGTCCATGTTTGGGGTGGAGGTGCTAATCAACCAGTTTCCATGGCATTGTTCCACCACTATTTCGATGACAGCAGGATCGAGATCTTCACATTCAATTTTTTAAGGACACCATGCTCCTACGTTATGATCGGTGTCAGTCTGACCGATCTTGGTTTCATGGCCAACGAACGAAACAATCAGCTTTCTGGCTCTTTTCCTAGTGAAAACCCATTAACTTTCGGTATTACTGATGGCAGCGCACATAACCTTCCTTGCATGTCCTATCAGGCTGCGAACTTAGAGCGCGTTCAGACTTCGCGATCGCGCGATCGCGACATGGGTGCCTGGGGCGGTGTTGTCTGAACGCGCTCTTACAAAAACAAGTTATGCACTTTCTAGTAAAAATTCAATTCCTCTATTTCGCTGGTTTAGCATGTTGTTTTCTGGTAATGAGACATGATGTGTTTCATAATAAGTCATTGTTGATAGTTTCACAATAGTCGACTAAGTAGCATTACTAATTGAGTGATATTGGACAGTTGATACTGTGAAAATTTTCCTATCACCGTGAGTTTAGGTGGGCTCAATCGGCCGTGGAGTTTGCGTATTTGTGGGCATTTCGAGAGAGGATAAAGAGGAAGATATTGAATACATTGTTCGGAAAATCTTGAATGTGCGATTGTTCGAATCCGAAAACAAACGGTGGGATAAGTCTGTCAAGGATGAAGGACTGGAAATTCTTTGCGTCAGTCAATTCACGCTTTATGGTTATTTGAAGGTAAGCTTTGTTTCAATTGATGAAGGCACATCTCTATTGTGTAGGACGGGTAATAGATACGTAGACGAATAAAAGAGACTGTATACTAGCGCACTGGGATATGGGTTGGTTCGGCGCTTTCCCTTACCTGAGCATTTCTCCATTCATACATCGCAATTTGATCGTTGTGATCGCCTAACGACCAAGAACGCTCCACCGCTACCGTACAGTCCAGTGTCTTACAATTTGAAGTAATTTCCTACAGATGAGTTGGGCAGAACAAATATGAAAACCGGCACTGTTCAAGTACTACAACCCCATTCCGCTCAAAACAGGCCAGTTTTTACCGGCTTTTTTCTACGGGGTAGATCTGCCTAAAAAAGCGGCTCAAGGGGTACTCCGATCTACTGAACACGATTAACATATCCGCTTGGCTTGCCTTGTGCCGGCGCCAAAATCTCTCAATCGCCAACATCGATGAGTATTTTTATACGGAATTATTAAGCATTGATCAAGATTATGACATCCACTTCCGGCGCTAATGGAGGATCGATCATCCGTGCTCTGCTAAGGCTAAGCTTTTGCTGAAGTTGAGCCTCGCCTGAAGGGGAATCATTCTTTCTGCTCAGCCTTAGCAGAGCGCTGAATGGCGCCGTTGTCAAAAATGAATGCCACTTTCGTGATCAGGCCATAAAACAACCTTATTATGCAACTTTTCATCGACCTTGCCACCATGCCTTCTGCTTTAAGGACAGAAGTCAAGTTGCTGCATAAGAGTTTGGACATGTCTGCTGTGAGGTAATAACTCAGTGATGCCCTTTTGAGGCTGGTTTCAGAGCGTTGAGTCCGCTCCGCTCTCTTTGAGAAAGCTATGATACCGTCTGCTACTCTACCATCTCTGTATTGATAGTAAGTGTGTGATGAGTGATTCTTTATTATTTCATGGCAATAAGCTCGACTTTCACAACTCAATGAATCCACAGGACGCGTCGGCTTTTTACAGCCGATTCATGGACACGTTGCGAACATCATATCCGGCCGGAAATGTACAGGTGATTGTTGTCTCTTAAAAGGTTACACACTTGCTGAAGTGATCTCAGTGCTTTTTGTACTGGTGGAAAATTCCAGGATGGACGCTTCGCAGCAATGATGAATGTTGAGATTGTTAACGATGGTCCAGTGACGATAAGTATAGACAGTAAAAATAGGGATTGAAGATCTGTTTTAAAGTTTTTTTTTTCCGTTCCGTTCCTCTATGATGCTTGCTTTTGAAG